AGCTGGCAACTAGAGACAGGTAAGATAATTTTAAGTGGCAGAGCAAAGGCCAGTCTTAGAATTAAACATAATTAAACCAACACAGATATAGCATTTTACAGTTCAAAGTGCTTAAAATATCCATTATCCCCTTTCTTCTTCACAAGGATTTTGTAGGACAAGTGCTATTAATATTATCACCATTTTACAGTCATCCAGCTCTGAGTTACTATTCTTCATTGAATGGGCGGATCAAGTCTCTCATGGCCTGTGTTGAGGCCTGTTGCCTTCTTCTAGGCGCCTTCACTCTCCTCCAAGTCACCGTCTTCACTTTCTAACACCTACTTTGTCATAGTCTCTTACTTTCAGCCGACCATCTTTCCCAGCTGAGGTATTAACTGATATTTAAGGTCATAGTTGATAATCATTTAGGATATCTCCTTTCCTAGGGGAATCTGAGTTTTAGTGGAGAACTCTAAAACGAGGAGATGGCTACTCAAAGAAAGGAAGCTTTAGCAGTTCAATCACAGGTGATTTGGTATAACATTCTAGGGTAAGGAAATCCTATGTACTACATTTAAGGACAGTCTGAGCATGACCAGAAGAAGTGCAGAGAATGTGGCATAGACCCTCTGTGAGGTAAAGATGGAGCGGAAATGCTTTTGGTTTGCTTCTTTTTTTTCTGCAGACCTATTTGCTTTTCTGTGAGTATGTGAGGGATCGGGAGGGGGTGGTTCCTGGAAGCATCTAAGCCTGGTTGTGCGTGCAATGGGTTTGGCCTTAGCACCCCATACTCCTTTCTCTTCTTAAGAGAACAACAGAAAAGATGACAAATGGATGGCTTCCACTGTCAGAACCTTATAATGGAGAACTGTTACCCTACTTACTGCTCCCAAAGAGTAATGTAGAAATGAAAACTTGGAAGGCCACCTCCCAAATCCTGCTGCCATCTGCCTCTCCCACAAAGCAGTCACAAGAAAGAAAATTTGGTTTTTGCAAAGCATACCCTTTGTAATGTATATCCGTCCTCTTGGTTCCAACAGATAATTTCTCTTAGGTTAGGAGCACAATGTTGATTTATTGGGTTTAGCATAAAATTTCTGGAATGGACAGAGAAAAAGTAAGAGATGTTAGGGTTTTTTTTTCCTCCCTTATTTGGTAGGAAATAACACTCAAAGGTCTTAGGAACAATGATGATAATTCTTCTCTCCTGTCTTTGCAAACCTGAGCAAAGAAAAGCAGTGCAGAGCTACTCTCTGTCCTTAGCTCCCAAGAACCTCAAATCATGAGTCTCTCTTGGACATTGCATGGGGCAAACAGCCATTTCTATGGATGGAAAGCAGGTCATAACAAAGGGGAAATTAGAGACCAGACTTTTGAGACGTATCTCTTTCCACACATAGGAGAGTGAGGTATTTTCTTCCACCCAGCAGTAGTAAAAGCACGGAACAACTCCCCATAAGGGTTTGCAGATGGGATCAGTAGTTTGTTTCCTTCCCTTACTTGGGATGGGGGTAAGTTCCTAAAACAGAGTGTATTCTTTACTGCTGAACTCTTAGGACATGTGCCTTTCATCCTTCATTCTTCAGCATCATGAGTGAACACTCATTCTTCTGACATTGGTCAATCCAGTTCTCAGGTCCAGCCCGGATGGTCTGCATTCCTAACTACTGTTTCTACGTCTGATATTCAGTGACCCAGAATTGCTGTATCCCAAATTCAGGCTGTGCAAAGCTTGAGTCCTTCCCTTCCACCCTAAAGCTAAAATTTAAAGTACAGAAAAAGGTAAAGAAAGATTAATTTAATATAAACCCAATGCAGAGGCAAGGCTGCTCATAGCTTTGCCATCTGGAGTTTTGGTAAATTAGATTTAGATGATCTTTTACAAACTAGAGTTCACCTTCAAAGAGGCCAAATGCTATTTCCTGTCAGTTTTCTTAATTACCTGTCAAGCATAATTCCTCCTCTCTCAGCCTAGAACTGATTACAGTGAAGGAGGCATAAGCCACGGCTGATCCAGCCGTCATTTATAGCAAAACAAAGTGGCTCAAATCGACGCGGTGCTGCCGTCAGCCAAATATTAGAATAGAATACTTGAGGGGCAACTGCTCTCTCCTTCAGAAAACTGTGCAGCTTTAGAGCTTCCTTATCGTCTGGGGTTTCCAGATCCCCCCCCCCCCCCCCACTAAAAAAAATCCCGTATAAATGAGCAAATTCCATCTATCTATATGCAAGGACTGTGAGTCATGGAGCCCAGAGAAGTGCAATAGTCCATTGTGAGGGTGAGAAGACGTAGGTGTTAAACAAGATCACAAAAGAACCCCAGTCCTCGCTTTCAGCTCAGCCCACGTATCCCGGCTGTGAATCTCCATGGCACATTCAGGTTCTTGCAGTGGTGCTCATTTTAATCTTATGATTTAGAGTTTCTGCGTATTCATTGAAATGCTATGGGAATAGGTGGTATGCAAAAGCAGAAAGCAAGAGCAGGCTCAGAGAGCAAGCATATCCTCTAGTGGGAAGGATTTGTAGGGAAAGAGAAGAGAGAGGAAGAAATATTAGTGTCTTGAGAATTTCCTCTTGTTGCTCTGTGTGCAGAGTGACTTCCACAAACACAGGCCCAGACGGGGGTATAAACCAGCTAAAATATACTTCTGGTTCCATTCGTCTCTCACTTCGAGGAGTTTTTGTGTTGTTTCTCTGCGGGGAGTGATAGTACTGGTTAGGATCTCTCCCTATATTAAAACATTCCAGTTCCTCTCTGAGAAGATACGAATTATTCTGCATTGTGTTCTTCCATTCATCTACTTTTGATAGAGGGGAGTAAAAATAAAATAACATCCAAGCATTAAAAATTGGACATACGCACACACGAATGTTGATGCCGGAAACTCTGAGGGAATCAGACAAGTCTGTTTACGGTCCTTCCCACTCATCTTGTTCACGCCTGACTCTTGCCTCACTGGGAATGGCCTTGAGCCAGTGCTGCACACAAATGCCACCAACCCTTACAAGTTCAGCTTTGGTCTCTATCCTCCACAAAGCCGTCCAACACAACCTTTGGGCTCCTTTGTGTCACTATTGCACAGATTCTATATTTGTTTCTTTCCTGGTTTTTTTCCACTTAGAAGGTAAGCAATTCCAAGTTTGGACTTTATCTTTAGTAAATGTCTTCTATAGTCACACAGCAGACAGCACAGAGCACGTAGTGGGGTCCTCAATAAATCTCAGAAGAAGGTGGGAGTCAGAGAGAACAATTAGGGCTAGGAGTTTCCTGCTAGAAAGAAGAAGAGGGGGAGGAAGGGATGTAAGGATGTGGAAGGGTGGGGAACTCCCCAGCTGACCATTTGCTTATGAAATGCCTTCACCTGTTCTGGGAGAGAGTGGGATACATATTTGTTTCCACGCCCAACAGCTGAAGGGTAAAAATGTCCCAGCCAAAATCTCTTTCGCAGGCATCTGTCTGGACTTTGACCATTTGGGTTGCCATGCGCTGGGGCTGAGTTCTCTCAGGAATGGGCTGGGGGACACGTGTGCTGCTGTACCCAGGGATCCCCTGTTGGGGAGGCATTGAGAAGACAGCACTGGTGTCAGCATGGGGAGGGTAGTTCACTACCACCCCTCCTCTGAAGGGAGGGTCAGAGGCTCCACCCGTCACCCCTCCACCCCAACTCCTCCCAGGGATATCAGAGTTGGGAAGGCTTGCTGACAGTGTTTTATTTCTGAAAAGAAACAAGAAAGAAATATCAGGGATCTATGTCCAGAAGATACCCTAGAGAAACAATGGTCTGAGCATTGTCCTTTGTCCTGGAAGGTGTGTGTGTGGGGGGGGACTGTGAATCTGAATTAATCTTGCTCCAGGATGAAAAAGTCAAGGCACAGCATCTGTGGGCATGTTTTATTTACAGAGAAGTGGAAGCAGTGGGGCCGTGTCTTGGACAGACTGTTCTAGTCTTCTTTAGTCAACACAGGCTGGTGATTTCAATGGAGGACTCAGAAAGCTGTCCTTAGCAGAGGAGATACAAGGCTCGTGTTTCCATAGTGTGGACGGAAGGAAAACAACAAGCTGTCAATGGCCAAGTAGCTATAAGACTGTGGCCAGAGAAACAAGCTAAGGCAGTGTTGGTCCTAGGATGGGTTTCTAAGAAGCAGGTACTGGGCAAGCCAGAGGGAGAATTGTCTTCTCTGGGCACGGAAGTGACGCAGAGAGTATAGTGGCTTTGGAATGAAATGGATCATCTCATCCCCTGTTCAAAACTCCCCCAATGCTTCTCATCTCTTTCCATGAGGATCTAGAGTTCTTTCCATTGGTTACGCCTCCAGCCTTATCCTCCATCCTGCTCCCTGTTGCTCACTGTTTCAGCCCTGCGGTGTCTGTGCTATTGTCACTGCAACAGGCTGCAACCACTACTACCTCACGGCCTTTGCTCTGCTTGGAAGGCTCTTTCCCAGATACCTGCATGGCTTTTCACTCACTTCCTTCAGGCTCTGCTCAGGTGTCACCTTCCCACAGAAGCCTTCCCTGGGCACCTCAGCCAAAATCGCACCCTTGTTCTGTCGCTCTCTGTCCCCTAAGTCGGCTTTGTTTTTCTTTGTGATAATCCTCACTCCCTGCCTATACATCTATACCTATCTCTCTATACCCATCCATACATATTTGTCTATCGTCTACTAGAATATGAGCTCCCTGCTATATTCTTGGGTCCTAGAACAGTGCCTGGCTCATAGCAGGCTCTTATCAAACATTTGTGGACCAAAGGACTAAAGTGAATATGACTTTGAATCCAGGCCCAGCTATTTATGGGTTGTGTCATCTTGGGAAAATTCCTTAACTTTTTAACCTGACTTTTGCTATCTGTGACCCATGCCGATTACACCTATCTCAGTAGATTGTGGTAAGGATATAGCACAGACAAGCCCCTCGTATGGTGCCTGGCACATGGCAAATGCCCAATAAGTGATGGCAATGATTTTTAGCTTGGTTTAGGATTTTAAATAATCTGCTTTGTCATCTACAGCTCTGAAGCGTTTTCTAGCCTAAATCCTGTCGGGTGACTTTTCTTGAGCCAGCAGTGCAGGGTGGTGGTGAAACTCCTACGGACAAGTACCATGGAAATGCCAGTTTCAGTGAGATGCTCGAGGGACAAAAAAAATCACAGGCTTCATTTTTCCTTAAAAATAACACACCATCTTTTTCCCAGGGGAGGGGAGATATTTTCACCTTCTTCCTTGTTGTTTCAGTTTATGGGAAGAGCATGTGAGTGAGGGTGCTTGTGTGTGTCTCTTGCAAGTTCATCTGTAGTCGGCCCCTGGGGAATGCTGGATCTATGACACACTTTATCCTTCTGAGAACAAAACCTTTCCCAGGTAAGTGCCCTTGGAACATATATGTATTTCTGTTTTATTTGATTCTTGTTTGTGTTGGAGGATGGTGACAGCTGGGTGATATAATAGAAAGAAATCTAAGAATAAAAAGAACCGGACCAATCTTAGTGCATTTTCTTTTTTCTCTTTAGAGACAGACAGTATTTGAAATTGTGGTTGTGGAGACCTGGTTTATTTGTCTATGTAAAAAAAGAGACTCATGAAGAAAATCTAATGGATAAGGAAAGCAAAATTTATGGCCGCAGATATACTGGGGTGTGCCAGATAAGATTAATATTTTGTTTCCTGAAAAATGTTTTCTATCATGCAGTGTTGCATGGTTTGTGTTTCTTTATTTGAGAGTTTCTATCTTGGGACATTAGTCACAATAGTTTTTTAACACAAAAGATAAAAAGAAAATCTTGGAGATATAGTCCGGGGAAAAACAAGTACAGAGGGGCAGGCTTGCTGTAGAAAACATTCCTTTATGAATAATTGATCTTCAAAATTTTTTGAAACTAGAGAAATAGCATATATAGAGTTTCATGCTTTATGAAACATCAGTGAGAACATTATTTACTAAAAGGGTTTGAGCATAAAAGTATAATTTTTTCAGGCACTGATGATTAAAACTTTTACTTATTTTACTAATTTCTCACTTCTTGGACTATTTAATTTTAAAATTTATTTTCTTTTTTCTTCTGTTTCCTGTCTCCCAAGATATAGGATTGGCTTATCTTTTGTTTACGAAAACAATATCTGGTGGAGTCCTGGACTGAAATTCAGGGACTCACTGGGCACCTCCTCGCTGTCCTAGCTGTAATTGTAAGGTCAGCCTGGCCCCTGATTAACTGTGTTACTTTGGATAAACCACTGCTCTTCTCCATGCTTCCTTTTTTTTTTTTTTTATTTTTTATTTTTTATTTATTTTTTATTTTTTTTTTATTTTTTTTAAAGATTTTATTTTTTCCTTTTTCTCCCCAAAGCCCCCCGGTACATAGTTGTGTATTCTTCGTTGCGGGTTCTTCTAGTTGTGGCATGTGGGACGCTGCCTCAGCGTGGTCTGATGAGCAGTGCCATGTCCGCGCCCAGGATTCGAACTAACGAAACACTGGGCCGCCTGCAGCGGAGCGCGCGAACTTAACCGCTCGGCCACGGGGCCAGCCCCTCCATGCTTCCTTTATTTGTTCTATAGGAAGAAGATTATAGCTAATGAAATTATTCATTGAAAGGTATTTGAATAGCCCAAACAAGAAATGATGCTAAAGCAGCATATTACTGAAAAGATAATTCCTTAATTTTGTACTTGCTTTAGGGAAAGGAGGACAAAAGAAAGACTTGGCAATTGGATTCTGTTCTGCGGTATAAGTTCCTGGTGCCCTCAGAAGACAAAAATGGGGTTCCACGGACCCAGCACCAACGGTTCTTTCTGTCAGAGGATCTGGCTCTGCTGGTCCCTCACTCCACTGGCCCCTTGGAGAAGGTGTGCCTGATTCTCAGGGAAAGCCCCAGGCTCAGGTCCTGGGAGTTTTCAGATGGCAGAAACCGTGATGACATAACAATTTTCAATTTTCAAGTCTAAATTTTATTCTAGTGTGATCGTCACGGTGGAAAGTCAAAGCAATTCATAAGCATGAAGTACAAGATAAATGAATAGATGATGCTTGCTCATATTTTTGTATGAAAGCTGGAAGCCAAGTGTTTAAGCCCACACAACTAACATCACTTTTGAACACTATACATATCACATGTTGTTAGAATAAACTAAAAAGCAGGCAATTACTGAATGTAGTATTTTGGAACGTGATGGCCGTTGAAGAGTGTTTGGCATAATCCTGACAGTCATTGCCTTGATTTTGTTCTTCTTATTTCTCGTCTGGATGATTGAAATAGGCTTGCAATTGGACCTCTTCCTCAGCAGCCCTCCCATCTGTCCTCCGCGCTGGTGCCAGAGAGATCTTCACAAAACACGACCTTGATCAAGTCCCACTTCATTTAAAATTCTGCACTGCCTCCTCAGCACCATCAGACTGGAGTCCAAATTCTTTAATGAAGGGTTCAGTGAGGACTGGTCTTTAAAAATTTGTTTGAATTTGGAAAATGTCATTGGAAGGGTTATCAGCAATTTTTGCTGTTGTGTTTTCTATTTGTTTGTTTTTGCTTTCTAGGCATAGAGATTGGAATTTGTCTTTGGGAAATCCCCTTTGTTCAGAGACACCATCACGACAGTCACCTTTAGTTATGCAGAAGAAATAAGAGAAGTAATAAGGACTTAAATATTATTCTTGTGGATGGGCTGAAGTTTATGAGATACCCCAGTGGAAAATGCTCTATTTAATAGTGTAATACTTACAACTAAAACTTATTGAGCTAAGTGCTATGTGCCAGATATTCTTCTAAGATTTTTTTCTAATTGGGGTAACATGGGTTTATACCATTATGTAACTTTCAGGTGTACATCATTATATTTCAGCTTCTGTATAGATTACATCGTGTTCACCACCAAAAGTCTGGTTGCCATCTGTCTAAGCTTTTTGTATTAATTGATTTAATACTCTCTTACAATCCCTTACTATTGACGAAATGGAGACACGGAGAGGTTCAATAACATGTCCAACGTCACGTAGACAGGTAGCTGGTAGAACTGGGATTTCAATCCACGTAGTACAACTGCAAAGCCCACATTCCCAAGCACTGCGTTCTGGAGCCTCCATTAGCAGGGCTAGGCCCCTGGAGAATTCGAGACGCCTTTCCCACCCACCAACCTGGATATCGGATGGATCTTTCTTCTAAGCATTTGGACGTGAGAAGTGAGATCTGCAGCTTGATCACGGCTGGAGAAACACGGTGCTTTAATCTCTTTAAGCTGCTTTGGAGGAAGGACTGGAAAAGAGCAGTGCATCCAGGACTGAGGCGTTGGCGTCCCACATTGATGCTACTTAAAAATGAGTCACTCAGATATTAAGAAATATCCTGTGGACACTTTTTTTGGTCTTATGTGGTCACTCTTATTTCACACTTTTGAGAGTAAGAGGTAGGGTTTTATTTGGAGGGGTTGACTGTTCCTACTGTCAGCCATTCTGGGGAAGATAACCCACAGGTAGGCACTTGAATTGCTAGAGAAAATGTTTAGGTTTGGGGGTGTTCACAGAGTTGGACCTAGACTGAGATGTGGGGATTTGGGGGGTATCCCTTTGGTGGAGGTAGAATTAGCCGGAGAACTGAGTGAGGACTTAACGATTAGATTGGGCCTCTGGGCTCTAAGATCAATCCTTTCTCTTAGTGGTTGTAAATGAATCTATTTAATGTGCTTTCCCCCCATTCTTTAACCTCTAAACTTTCAGTAAAGTTTTGTTACGGGTCATAATTAAGTATGATGATGTGTGTCAAAATCAGAGAAGAGGTGTCAAAGATCACATCTGTCTATCTTCCTCTTTCCCTGATCTTTTCCACATGGAACAATTGGATTTGCACTCAACACAGCATGTTTTTTCAGGCCTCTGTGCTTTTCCTCATACCAGACTTGGAAGTTGTGTGGTAAATTTTATATGTCAACTTGGCTAGGTCACAGTACCCAGATATTTAGTCAAATAACAGTCTAGACGTCACTGTGAAAGTATTTTAAAAAAATGATATTAACAATTAAGTCAGTAGACTTTGAGTAAAACAGATTATCCTCCAAAACACGGGTGGGCCTCATCTGATCGGTTGAAGGCCTTAAGAGAAAAGACTAAGACTAAGCTCTGTTGAGGAAGAGGAAATCCTGCCTTCAGACTGTCTGTAGACTGGAGCTGCCATACCAGCTCCTCCCTGGGACTCCAGTCTGCTGGCCTGCTCTGCAAATTTCTGAGTTGTCAACTCCCATAATCGCTGAGCCAATTTCTTAAAATAAATCTGTCTCTATACACACATCCTCTTGGTTCTGTTTCTCTGGAGAACTCTGACTAACAAAGAGGCCCTGTCCTCTAGCTCCCAAGTCAGTTTTCTTTTCATTATATTTTGCTTCCTACAGTTGGGGCTTGCAAATTACTAAAAAGTGTAAAGGATTTCTTCATGGCAATGTTCGTTAGAATGGAACTAACAACTCAAAGAAATTCTATTTTCAAATAGTCTTTCCACATAAGTAGTGCTTGGAGATTTGCATCTAATCAAGTGATTTCAGAAGAATATGTAAGTTATCCTTCTGGCAGCTCATTCCCAGGGGGTTTTGGGGATGTGATCCTTTCGTTCTCTGGACATTTTTGCTCAACATCTGTTGATTATTTATTATGTACCAGGCACTGTGTAGGTGCTGGGAGTACAACAGTGCACAAGACACAAAAATCCCTGCCCTCACAAAGATTCAATTCTATTGGGGGAACAGACAACAAACAAGATAAATTAGTAGAAATATAATAGTCTAAGAAGCAAAGAATCTTGTACAGTTGTGCAGATTGTGCACTGCACAAGGGTGTTGTGACACTGTACACACCATGGGTTTATATATTTACTTCTACATTGTTCTTGCAGTTAGAAAAAGGTGTCTTAGAGAAGGACTTCTTTCTAATTTGCACAAAGGCACTGTATGGGCTAGCGGGAGCCCCCTTAGTAAAGAATGAGCTTGGTAGTAGGCTACTGTAGACATGCAGGTGAGATTTGATGGTGGCTTGGATTAGGAAGGTGGCAGTAGAAATGGTGAAAATGTTGTGGTCAAATTCTGTATATTTTTTGAAAGTAGAGCTGAAAGGATTTGCTACAGACTGGATGTGGCTTGTGAGGGGAGGAGTAGTGTGAAGATGCCACCACGGTTTCAGTCTTAAGCAATGGGGAGAATTGAGCTGTCCTTAATTGAGATGGGGAAGATGTCAGGAGGAACTATTGTGCTTTGGACATGCGAAGGCCAAGCTGTCTCTTAGACATGACATGCAGATGTCACATGGGCAGTTGGACATATGGGTCTGGAGTGCGAGAAAGAGGCCTGGACTAAAGATATAAATTATATTTTTTATGAGAGCTACTGTGAGCCATCATTGGTCTTTCAATGGCTTATGATGTTAGTAAAGGTAGGATTTCTACCTAACATTTGTAACAAGTTCCTCCCCATTTCACACTTCTCTGCCTTTTAATATGAACTGAATAAATACGTTAGTTTCAGCTTGCAATTCTGCCGCTGAAAATCTTGCAAAACACTTTGAACAAATTATTATTGAAAACACCTGCTCTTCTAAAATTATGAAATTAAGACCAAGTTGCTAAAATTTATCTTTGGAAAGAAGAGTAGACTCCTTGATAGCCTCTGAATTTTCTTATAGGGAATTTGAATTTGACCATGTATGATAACGTATTTGGAATTATTTTCTATGGCAAGAGTAAGAGTCACCATGGTCAGTATGTGCTATCATCAGTTACCATAGGAATCTCTCTAATACTAATTTTAGGAGTTTACAGAATTGGGAAAACAAGACTTTGTAAAGTAAAATACCAGGAATATTTTGTAGCACAAAGGAATCTATTGCTTATGTTAGTCAGTAGAACAATCTGTCAGGAATGGAGGGCAATTTACAGGAATCAGCTATAAATACACAGGGCTGCCAGATCTCCACTACCCTCAAGCCAACTACCTATGTGCAGATTTTCTGCAGTTTCATGACCTGTGTCCTTCTCTCATAGGCAGAAGGGAATTGCGGTCCTGGCACACACAGGTTGAGTATCTGTGTGTATCAAAGTGCTGCCTAAGGGCCATTCTCATTGATTTCACAACTATTTATAGTTTTGTAATGTTTTCACCTCTTTAGCCCACTACCTTATACAATCAAGGGCAGTTAAGGAAGAGGATGGCTGCAGGCAACTTCATGTGTTCCAGAACAACTAACTCCGTGGAGGTCATACTTTTCCGTGTAATAAGTAAGAAATCCAAACTAAGTTTTTTTTAACAAAAAATGTCCTGTCGGTTTCCGTTTTATAAATCCAAGTGTTCGTCTCCTGACATTCTTAGTTTTAACTGGTAGTTAGCTTATACCTTGAATTACAATATGGTGTTCGACTAGCCCTTTACAAGTTGACTTTTTTGAAAAACAGCTTTATTGAGATAGAATTCATATACCATACAATTTACCCACCCAGATTGTAAAATCCAGTGATTTTCAGTATATTCAGAGGGTTGTGCAGCCATTACCACAATTTAATTTCAGAACATTTTTTTCTCTGCTAAAAGAAACTCAACACCCACTAGCAGTCACTCCCTATCTTACCTTCCCTGACTTAGCTGTAGGCCACCACTAATTCACTTTATTTCTATGAATTTGCCTATTCTGGAAGTTTCATATAAATGGAACCCTACGATATATGATCTGTTACTATCTTTTTTCTCTTAAAATTATATTTTCAAGGTTCATTCATGTTGTAGCATTTCTCAGTGCTTCATTTCATTTTATTGCCTTATAATAGCCCATTGCCTGAATATACCACATTTTATTTCTCTGTTCATCAGTTGAGAGACAATTGGGTTGTTTCCACTTTTTGGCTATTACGAATAAAGCTACTATAAACGTTCGTGTACGAGTTTTTAAATGGACCTGTGTTTTCATTTCTCTTGGGTATATACGTAGGAGTAGAATTGCTGGGTCATATGGTAACTCTACTTTTTGAAGAACTGCCAAATTGTTTCCAAAGTATGAGTTGACTTTAAAAACACTACTTATACTGCTTCCATTCTCTTTAGACTAAAGTTTTTCATTAATTTATATGTTTTCTAGGTATCATATTGTTGTTACATATATACACACACTTTGCAAAGTTATACACTCGACTATGCTCTGAAAATATTGGAAAGGCAAAATTGCCTGCTTTCTCAGTCAAATGAACTTTTAGAGAACTGTTTCATTTTTCTGGAGGGACACACAATTAACACAGTTTAAAATTTTCAATTTGAATTTAATTTTATTTATTTGATTTTTGAATAGGTACTAGAGCCAAACGGTTCAAAATTCTGGAGGTACAGTAAGATAGCCAGCCCTGGTGGTCCGATGGTTGAGATTCAGCGTTCTCACTGCCGTGGCCAGGGTTCATTTCCAGGTCAGGGAGCCAAACCACTCATCTGTTGTCATACTGTGGTGGCTGCATGTTACCGTGATGCTGAAAGCTGGGCTACTAGTATTTCAAATACCAGCAGGGTCACCCATGGTGGACAGGTTTCAGCGGAGCTTCTAGACAAAGACAGACTAGGAAGAAGGGCCTGGCCACCCACTTCTGAAAAAATTGGCTGTGAAAACCCTATAAGGAGCTGCAGAGCATTGTCTGATTTAGCGCCAGAAGACGAGAGCATAGCGCAAAAAGTCCAGGCAGGGTTCTACTGTGCTGTACACAGGGTCACCAGGAGTTGGAATGGACGGGATGGCACTAACAGCAACAAAAGTAAGACACACGGTGTATTGTCTCCCTCCCACCTCTGTGCTGCAGCCGGCCACTTTCCCTCCCTGGAGGCAGCAGTGTTATCTACTTCTTATGTAGTCTTCTAAGGAAGGCATTTTAATGCAATTTTGACTTGAAAAGAATAAACTTAAAAAAAAAAGTGAATTTGTGAGATTGTCAGGGTTTTGTTCTAAACTTGATTGGTTTGGTTAATGAAAGTCAGAACAGCATACGCCTCAGTGATGACTTTATTTCAAGGTTGACTAGCAATAAAGAACTTACAAGTTTAATAAATGTCTTCAATAGCTGGAGGACATAATCAAAGCAATCTACTTCTCTTTAACTTTTATTTTTGCCCCGGGAGCCAGTCCTTGATCAACCACCTCCTGGTTATTATTTCACTTTGTCTACATTCCCAAGACACATAATCTGCTGATTTTAACTTCTCTAACTCTATTTCTGCTTTAAATGCTTTACTTTATGGAAATCATCTTCAAAATTCTCCAAAGCTGGCTCCTTCCTGACTCCCAAACCACATCTCATACCTCGCTCTTTTTCTCACTCACGAGTTCCAGGCACACGGACTTCCTTTCAGT